ATGCGCACATACACCTCTACCAGTCAATGTTCGCAGCAAAGGCGCTTCAAGCCCACGAACGGCGTGACCGTGAATCTGCCAGTCTCGGCAAACACATCGTTGGGATTACCTGACGCTGCGGGCCTTCGACCCCCCCCCCCCCCCCCCGCCCAGTTTTCAAGCCTCCGTTCCACTCAAAAGCTTTGAGGGACCTGCACTTCTTGCAAAAAACAGCTGTTGCCCAAGGTGCTTGGTGAGGGGCTTGTAGCGGTAGTACAAGCTCCTCGGCTTCGGAGGCAGATCAGAAATCATTATTGTGGATCACCTTAATGTTGATGTTGACTTGGCAGATTGTGCAGCCACTTCTTGCCATTACATCGTTTGCAATAACTCCGAGAACTATGATGAATTCCAGCTTAGCGAAACTATGGAAAAGATATCGCGTAGGATGGGGTCACGCAGGGTGGGCGATGATGCACGGCGGCAGGAAGGAGCTGGCATATGTTTTCACCAGGTCTTTGTTACGAGCAACTCGTTGCATTTGCCAGAGAGCGATGTGCTTCAACAATCACCTGCCCCTGATCTGCGAACATCCCAAATGGCTCACTGGGCGAAGGCTCCAATGCATGCGAGGCTCCGAAAAAGAAGCTCGCAGCGAGGCCCGGCAGCGGAGTTCGCTGGGCTTGGGCCTTCACATTCATGTCTGCTCTGAGAGGCTTGAATCCTTTCCATGGACCCGCGTTATGGAGACACATACAAAGCTCATGGGTCTTCGTGCATGCACATGCACCAGCCTGTTACAAGGCAACTAGATCGTTGCAGGCACCCATCAACATCCGCTTCCGTCGCCTCCATCTTGAGCCTTCGGGACAACCGCGACGAGGACTGCGTCTTCAGTCTCTGCGTGGTTGGTGTGCCCTCGCTGCCGGCCGCGCATCTGCCACAGGGTATTTTGCTTTGCGACAAGATATGTTGAGAGCAACCGAAAGACAGAGAGAGATTGCTCTATCTTTGACATTTCAGATCGCAAGCATCATATGTTCCCCGCGTATGCTTAAAACATCGCTGCTCGATGCCCTTCCGAAGCATCCAAACCTCTGCCCCAAGATCCGAGGTTTCCCCCGCACTCCCCCCTGGCACTTCGCGGCCGCGAGGTTCAGCGGTGGCACAGAGGGCCTGCCCAGCTCAGCAAGTCCACGAGTCAACACCCTGTGTTCCACTAAAAATTCAAAACACGAGTTCAGTTCACATAGCAAAACAGGTACTTCGATAGTGTCACGGGGGAGGGCGGGTGGCGCTAAGTCTTCTGACTATGTGTTGTTGTTTTTCACTTTCCATATCTTTCAATCTGACTTGCACATCGCGGTCATGCCTTGTATGTCAGATGTTCCAAACCCACACAAAACCAGTGCCTCTACAGGTGGATCTGACTTGTGCATCATGGGTAAATCATGAGAAGAGGCATTCTGGGGCAAGCGGAGCAGTCGGGCAACGACCGGAGAAGAATCAGGAATAGTGAGGAGCCAAGGGGGGCAAGCGAGGCAAGTGGGACAAGTGAGGCAAGCGGGGTGAGCAGGGTTACTTTCTTCGTCCTCCCGACATGTCACAACAGTAGCTTAGCTGTCGATTTGTTGATTTAACTCCTGTTGAGCTCCTGCCGCGTAAAGACCTACTTCTTGGTCGAATCCTAACCAGCGACAACCAATGCTACGTCAATAGCAAAGCTGACAGGCGAGGTGGACGCTCGACGCGTTTACGCAAGAAACGGCTCAATGAGGGGCCTGGAGGCTGCCGTCCCGGACTTCGCCAGTCTCGGGAGGTCCTCGAGTGGTCCTGGGCACAGCGCCCGCAAGCCGTAAGCATATTGAAAATGTACGAAATACTGCAGGTATCTGCAGCTGGACTCAGGCCGAAAAAACACTGACCCGTCGCGGCCTCTCTTTTCGATCGGCCATCGGATTGGGCCCGCCACATCTGCGAAACCAGGCGAGCTACAGCTGCAGCAACTATCAGAAGCACACGTGTTGCTTAAGCTTCCGTTTCTGGCCTGCAGGCTCAAGGTTCACGGGCACCCAAAGCCCCGTGTGCAAATGCTGAAGTTTTCCACAAGCTCAAGCTACCTCGAAGTGACGCCCAGGGCGACTCGCCGGCATCGAAGGAGGCCGAGCGCAACGCCGGACTGGCGGGGTTGGTTGAGGTTGGATGCAGCTGGTTCTAGCAGGATGTGGCAGGGCCAACAGCAGAACCTTGATTCGACTCCTTCGAACTCCTGAACAGATCATGCGGATACGAGTATCAGAGTTTAATGTGCTGACATTCTGCAGGCAACCAGTCGCTGCGTGTCGCCACTGCGTTGGAACGCCGCGTAGTGACGCTCGTCAGTGTAAGGCACCTCGATGCCGAGCTGCTTCCGGCCTGGTCGCCTCCAGCGCATTCGCGGGCAGCTGAAGAGTGTCACTTTGAGAGGCAAAAATGCGGAGCATGTAACAGATCAGCCAAAAGAAGGATGCCGAACTATTTCACATCCCTAGCTGCCCGCTCGTCCCCCACAACCGAAAGCAATGGTTCAACCAATCGTCAGATCAGCAACGTCAAGGAGCCTGAGACAATTCCTGGCTCAGGTTCAGGTTTGCTGCCGGGCTCGCGGCTCGCGTGAAGGTGCATCCCTGAGCGCACGGAGAGCGGCCGCTCGCTGCTGGCGGCAACAGGTGGAAAAGGGATGGAAAGGGCAAGTAGCAGGCGGAAGCCTCCAAGTTGAACAATGAAGTGGACCGATGTTCGATGTCGGTTTATACCGGTTGCAATGCAACCTACCATGGTTGAGTTACACAATGTTATACATGTTTACACTTACAGCGGAAACTGTCGCTGCTAGCAGTGTTCCATGTGGCGGAAACACACAATGAAAATGACTGACGGCGCCAAGGAAACCCGGCCGGCCTCTCCAGCTTCCGAGGCGACCAGGGCGAAAAAGTCCAATCCTTGCATCTGGTCCCTTTATGTCCCTTTGTTCTCGCTACATTTGTTGGTCGGTTTCTTTGGTATGCTACTCGGCGGAAGTATTCGAAGTCCTGATCCTGCGGCCTCAGCTCGAGCCAAGGCAACACACAGCAACACACAGCCTCCGAGCAATCTGAACCTCCACCCAACGTCCTGCAAGCTGCAATTTGCAGCCTACGGTTCTTCTTGTGAGAGCGGTTCATAGTTTAAATGGCGTTTTCCCACATATGAGTGGCGAAGGTCAAGGTGCTTTGTGGCAGTTCACACCTTTGTACAGCTTTGCTGATCTTTGCTTTCTTTGACAACCCCCCCGTCGCGTTAAATCCCTCATGCGCAACCTGACAGTGGCCTCTATGAGTTCTCGCTGCAGTACTGCACCTATTTGCACCTAGGGGGCGCAGCGTGTCTTCTCTCCAGGGCCGAGGCGAGATGCCGCGCAGAGGTGCGTGCGGAGCGGGCAGAGGACAACGGTGTCTCCCGATGCCTGCCATAGAGAACTCGGAACAAGGGCTCCACCATGCTACACTTCAAGGATCCACACCCCAAAGCTTCAGACAAACACCCTTGAGACGCGCCTTCCTCAACCCTCCTCGACCCTCAATTGCGCCAGCAGTTCGAGAGAACTTGGGGTGAATGTAGCCGCGTCCTGACTCGCCAAGTACCAGCACAATCTTCAGTCAAGGACACGTCGAACCTTGAGCCCCAGATATAACCCTGAAGCAGACCAAACTAAACCCAAAACTTCGTGTTGAGACGAGTCCGGGGCCCCAGCAAGCGACCCGTGGCCGTCAGGACCTCCTCACGGCGATGCCTTGGCCCGGTGCAGAAAGCAAGCAAATATGTACTCCAAAAGAACAAAGATGCGCGAAGATGAACGAAGATGCACGAAGTTGCAAAGGATGGCCCCCCTTCATAGCCTTGCCAGACGTTGAATACTGGTGCAACTTCGGGGTCTTCGAGCCCTTTGCCTGCCATCAGCACCACCGTATGCATACAGCGCTCGCTTCGGACTAGAAAGCTCTTCGGTGCAGTGGTTAAAGTGATACTGATAGTGGTGGTAAACAAACATATTTATCGGTACATACTTTCGAGGTTGAACCGCAAGAGATTAGCTTTACATACATATCACCATTATACACATATAGAAGCACCACTCAAGGATTCCTGTCTGCGCAGCGGAGGAACCAGAAAGACGCGCATTTCCATGCTGTGCTCCCATCAAAGTCTGGGGGTGCTTTCTTGACTCCAGGTTCCGAAGCTTCGGAGACTCGACGGCGAAAGTCGGCTTTTGTAGGACAGAAGGACAATCTCAGCAATATGAAAGAAGACATCCTTGAACCAACCGCAATGATGTGGGGGCTGCCGTCAATCTCATGAACCATCCGAGGCTTCGAAACGAACTGATGTGCAAGACGGCGCTTGCCGAAGCACTCAAACGCTCTCCCTTGTTATGTGGCCTGGCATGGCTTTGGCTTAGGCTTCACAATTCAAAAGGGTCCGTGGTCAGAAAGCCCCGACGGTCCACTCGCAGCGTTCACAAAAAAGCCGGGCGGCGTAAGCTGCTCCTGGACCTCCCGGAGCACGTCGAAGAGGCAGCAGACTGCATCCTGACCAACACAAGCTAGGACCGGTGTGAATTTGTGCGGCTTGCACTTGTCGGAGGAAGGTCGACAGGTTCGCTAGTTCAGCTGACACTCCTAAGGTTCAGGGAAAGGGCCCTCAGGGCCCTCAGGGCCCTCAGGGCCCTCAGGGCCCTGTGTTCCCAAACCTCCCCAAACTGATGCTGAGGGCATGGCCACCGGAAGCCAGGAGCTCAGCTCAGACCTGCAAAGAGGCTCAAGAGGCTCAAGAGGCTCAAGAGGCTCAAGAGGCACCCCCGAATTCAGAGTTGTTTGAGGGCACTGGGGATCTCTTTCCCGAGGAATCCCGAGTCCGGTGGTTGGCCCCACGACATGTTGAAACATCGACAAAGCCTCAGTAGAAGGCATTTGCTGGTATGATCGGGAAGCTTACTTTTGCAGTCACAGCTGTGGACCGCACGAAAGTCGCGTCAAGAGGGCCAGGACCTGGCTCGATAAAGACAGCTGCAGCAACCCCGCCTCAGAGAATGCACAGTTTAAAGAAAGGTCCGGCTCCTTTGTTGAGTAAAGAGTGAAGGGCTTCCGCCTGTTCAGAGCCCTCCAGTCCGCGCCCAGCGTGACTAAATAGACCAAACATGACCTTCGCACTTTGCGCAGATCCATAGAAAAAGGCCTGTATCCCTCAGCGCCCGGAAGCTTGGCAGCTTTGCCAGGAGGCAAGAATGCCAGTGGCCAGGATCTTGCAAGTATTCTCTCAACCTCGGGTCGCATGTTAAGGCCAGGGCCCAGCTGAGCAAGCTGAGCATAGCAGCGAAACAATGACCTGCATGGACGTGCACACAACAGCCTGTCGGCCGCACTTTCCGTCCTGGGTGTCCCCACAGGCGCCAGAGGAGTGGAGCGATGTGCCTTGGGTAGAGGTCACAGAGTTCGGCCAGGATGTCGCAAAGGAGCACCTCTCTCGAGTTTCGAGTTTCGAGGGCATCTTGAAGGTGGAGCACATCGCTTGAGAGTGACTAGAGGATGGTATCTAAACGTAGCCGGCGAACTCTAAAGGACACCAGCTACGAGCGACCTCAATCTCGCCCAAGGCCACGTTGGGCATTGGGGCCATGTGGCCGAAAGCCTGTGTTGCCCCCAGGCTTGTTGTGCATGTCAACGTTAAGGAAGTCAAGAAAGATCCGCATGTCAATACAATGTAGCCGAGAAGTCAGGACAAAAAACGCCGCAAGCCCGAACCTGGTCTGGCATGTCGAAGGCTGGACAGCTCCGCCTGAGCGTTTGTTTACTATACATGCAGGAAACCGCTTGACAAGGAACTTGAACCAAGGATTCAGTTTTGACCCTTCTGCGAGCTTGCAAGCCCAAGCCAACCGAATGAAGTCATGCCAGGCTCGGCACGCCGAGTCGTTGCCGGCACTGAAGCTCAAAGCCTCTCCACGTCCGGCAGAATTCCAACTCCACAACTGCCCCATCAGCATGGGATATGAAAAGCAAAGCACAACAGCACAGCACTGGCACGAATTCGGCACGACAAGCTTTGGAGCAGGAACCTTGCTGTGGATCAGCTGCGGAAGCAGCAATGTAGCAGCCAACCTGAGCTCCATGAGCCAAGCACAAGCACAACTATGCACACGCACAAATGTTGTAGGTTTCTGTACTTGAAGTTTGCTCGCAGCATGTTCAAGCAGGCAGATTACACGCTTGTTTGCATGTGTTTGGCGCATACCTCGTGTTTTGCACAGACACTCACGAGTCAAGGAGCTTACGCGCATCAGACCAGGAAACACAGAATTCGCACGACCCCCGGAACCCACCGGGACGTGGACCCCCTGGGACCCCCTGAAAAGACATAAGACACATCGAGCAGTACGAGGCAGTGAGATCCAACACCGTCGATTGACATGCAGTTTGTACACGCAGATCATGACAGTCTTCATAAATTCATTGAACTCAAGATCTCCGACCGTTGAGCTTACTTTCAGGTCTAGCTTGCACAGTCCTGGTCCTCGTCTGCTCAGCGAAATCTCTTAAGCCGGTAGGCTCAGGTCCCCCAATCGGCAAAGCAACCGCTGTACTCGTGAGATTTTTAGTCAGTGGCCTCAGTCACCGACACGGTCGAAGTTGAAGCTGCTACATATTTACTGCATTTGGGGCTTGCTGAGGGATCTGAATCCATCTCCAATTTCCGGATATCTACGTCACGCAACCCGTACCACCAGTCGTTACTCCATCCGGGTTCATCACAAGCGTACGCCAGTCATCAGTGGTTGCACCAACATATTCGCTCCACTCACTCCATTCTTCATTCCAGTTCCACTCGTCAATGGTTTGGTGCACTACCACGTTCACGCCACTCGTCACTCACGGCATTCACAAACTTTGCAACGTTCTGATATGGAGATCCACAAATGTAGCAGCCAGTTCTTTTTTCTTTGCCCTTGTACGCAGTACCTTCCCAGTTTCGCTTGCTTTGATTTTACCGCTTGCCCTTGGCAACCGTCTTTCCTTTCCTGTTGCCGTTCTTTCCGAATCTGTTTCCTTCTCTTTTTCGGGCCAGCTCCAGTTTCTTGTTCTGAGTAGCTGTCTAAGATGCTGCTGCGTGCCCCAATAGTAGAGCAATGAAGTCGCGCAATCATCTTCGAAAGTACTTTAGCCTCAGTTTGAAGTCCAATATCTCAGTGAGCAATTTCAGCACGAGTTCGCAATGGGAACTACAGGCGCAGTCTCCGTCACGTTCATCCAAAACAGCATCCGTTAACACTTCGCATGCGTCTGGGAGCAGTTTTGCTTCAGGTTGGTACAGTCCCATCCATGAAAGCTTACAAGACGCAATAGGCACAGTTCACTCTGGACTCTGGACGGTTCACCCACATTCACCCACAACACAAGCGCAGACTCAGTCTCAACACCTCCCGATGCTTTGTGCACTTGAGCCAAACAGTGCAGTCGGCAGACGACAGCCTCAATAAGGCCCATGCATCAGTGCGCACAGAGCATTCGCATAGGGCCGTGTATTCCGGGACCCCTTCTGGGGCCCTCGTTACCACGAGAGAAGGCTTTGCTGCCTGAACCGTTTGGCAACTCCCACCACCAACTTGCTTCGTGGAACAATCACGAGAACGACAACAAGTGCACCGAAGGCTCTGCACCGCCTGCTGACAATGAACGTGCACGCCTCTTGAATTGCTGCTAACTCAGGCAAGCCAGGCTTCAAGGCTCCTCCAGCATACGCTTCCTAAGCTCACTTACGCTGCGGGTTCAATGTTTCGGGTTTTCGGGTGGGCTCCTCTCCGGTGTCTTTTTACTCAGTTCAGTCCGACCGTGCGTACTTGAAACTCCGAGGTGCACCGCTTGCACTGCCGACGTGCGCGTCCCGTGGCTGAGGGCGGCCCAGCTGCCGAAGCGGAGCGCACGGACGCGTTTACAAGTACCACACACAATCAGATCTCTGCGGTCCGGGCTCAAGGACCTCCAGGGATGGCTGCTCGCGCACAAGGCCTCCCATAAGTTGATTCTGCGAGTTTTCCAGGGGCGTTCTTACATGTACCATCGGTCTCAAGTGTAGAGCCGAATTCTTTAAGTCATTGGTTCCACGTATTACTAGTCGCTTTTTCTTGTCTCCACTCACAGGGACATGCACACACACACACACTTACTTTGCACACGGCTGAACAAGTCGAGGGATCACAAGGTTGCACCCCATTACACGGCTGGCTCCGGCTCTGGTGAGCATCACTGCATCACAAGGTGGTGGAGAGCCCTGCACATGCGCCATGTGGTCTGCGTGGATCGGCTTGATAAGTAGAGAGTGAGCATATCGGTCTTCCACCTGATGTTATTTAGTGACCTGTGAGTGATGTGAATAGGCTGCTTGTCTGACATGGTGCTGCGACTCAACTGAGCCTTTGTTGCCTTTGTTGCCTTTGTTGCCTTTGTTGCCTTTGTTGCCTTTGTTGCCTTTGTTATCTTGGTCAAGTTGTAGGATGTTTGGACCAAGTCTGGACCTGTGGCGGCTACATTTCCCGGCGAAAGCAGAATGCAGTTGCGTTCACGTTGGAATGTGAAACCTGCGAAAAGGTTCATTGGCCCACAATACCTGCATCTCAGTCAATCGCTGAAGGACTGCCGGTCACGAGATCCGCATTGAGGGAACCGATGCAGCCAACTGTAACGGCCGTCGAGCAAGCAACAAGCCCACACGCGAATCGCGCTTTCTAACCCCCTCAACCCGCCCCCCCCACCCCTACCCACCAGCTCAACCGACACATCTGTCAGAAGCAGAACGCAGGTCAAGGCTTCGAGCCGCTTCCAGGCCGGACTGCTTTCAACGCGCATCAATGCTTTTCTTAGTGCAGCAGTTGGCCAACAGGAACCATGGCATATGACGCCATGCTTGCTAAGACCTCTGCAAAGTGCGGTACGAGCTGCTTACCAATTCACTTGTGTCGGGTGCCTCCTGCAGCCCCTGTCGCCCCGGCGAGGCGCCGCAAGGCCGCCTGCCACCTGAGGCGGAATGTTTGACTCTTAAGAGTTTACGAGAATTGAGATTCTACATGCCTACATTGCTCTGCCACTGCTTACAAGGCTCCCTTGCCTCAGCAGCTTGTGCCGTCGGATCCTTGGCAAACATGCAGAAGACAAACATTGCTAACCGGCGAATCTGGTTCAGGGTTAAGCTCATCTATGCAAGGCGTTCAGCCGAACATTTTCTCTTATCTCAAACCCGGCAGAGAACTCAGAATCGCAGTGCGACCTCTTGCACGAAACATTGTCAATACAGGGTCAAAGAAATATTGGTAGTAGTTAAAATGTGTTTTCAGTTTACCCCGCTGCAGGATTTTGTTCGGAGACGCGGCGATGGACATGCTGCGTTAGCTCGAATTGCACGATCTCTGACGGCACGTGGGTTTGCCCTGCGTCAGCTTTTCCACCTTAATCTCTGCATCCTTGGTTTTGGAGTTCCACATTTGGTCCACAGCTCTAGCTCGCATAACTTGAATCATACCCCTACACCGTCAGGGAGCGGCTTCTCTTTCGACTGTGCCGCCCGCAATTCGATGGAGAAATCGCCGCCCTTTCTTCGTCAAGCGGGCTGGAAAGGCCATGCAACTTCTGGGTTGCTCTTTCGTGTTGGAAATCTTTGGTTCGGGTTTCCCTGAGAGATGCAGATTCCGGTCCTGGCCGAGGCGAACGATGAGCGGCAAAGAAAGCGCAAAGAATGCCTTCCAAGTCCTACCGCGAAACTGAAACGACGAAGAAGAGACATAACTTCTTGAATCGTCAAAGACCTCTCTGATACAGTCAAGGGAAGCGTTGCTATCCTGCGAGACACAAGCAATCACCGCCATCCCATGATTCAAAGTCAATGACGCAAGCGAGGCTTGAGGCAGTCCCTTCAGCAACAAATTTGAAACCGTCTTCCTGTCATCTTCACTGAACGCTCAGACAGCCAAGGGAAACTTTGTCATCAAGAAGGACCACGGGAGACACTCGACTCGACAAGCTTGCAAGCAGTTGTCACGGCATCTCATCAGCAAGCGAATGGAACTGCAACTTTTTGTATCGTCACAGATCTCTCTGATACAGCCAAGGGAAGTGTTGTCATCCTGCGAGACACAAGCAATCGCCGCCATGCCATGATTCAAAGTAAATGTCCCAAGCGAGGCTTGAGGCAGTCCCTTCAGCAACAAATTTGAAACCGTCTTCCTGTCATCTTCACTGAACGCTCAGACAGCCAAGGGAAACTTTGTCATCAAGAAGGACCACGG